TTTTAATTTCTTCCTTATGAAGTTTCAGCAAAAATAACTTCAGCTGTATCCAAGAATGAGATTAGGGAAATTTACATTATTTGATCATTTTTTCCAGTGTGTTTGGTTGGGTTTTTTGGTTTGGGTTGTTTTTTTTTTTTCTGCTAGCCTAGGAAATTATACACAGAATTGACATTTAAAGAAGCCAAGGTCATAAAATCGAGAACTGAAGAGTTAGAAAACCGTTTTACTACAGCTGCTTGCACCCTATTCTTTAATCTACTTCAAATGCAAACAGTTCAGCTACGAGATCACGGTGCAATTTTTGATAGGGCCCAATGCCTCAACCGCCCCAATGACGATTATGTCTGTTATAAGAACAAGCCAGGGCACTGTAATTTAGAAAAATTGATTTCTACAGGAAATAAACTTTGTCAAAGTTGAATGAATACGGCAGCAAATGGCAAGAAAAGCAAAGCAGTCCTGGCTGAAGTAGCTGAATGCTGCGCTGGAGAAAAGGATTCAGCTCTGCTGCTGCCTTGGACTGCTTGGGAGCTACCAAGCAAATTGTCAAAGCCAAACTTTTCACCAGCAGTTACTGATTTCTAGCATCTCTCCTCCATAACCAATGCTGGAGGTTGGCAATGGAAGATGCCAAGGCACTCTAAAATTGGAGTTTCAGTGGTTGTTGGACCTTAAATGTGGATAACTTGCTGTCATTTTGAGTCATCTCACAGGTCCAGACCAACCGAAAACCAGTGGCTGTGCTGGAGCTGGACCTCCCAGAGCCTCACTTCTTCACCAGTGAACCAGGACAACGCTATTCTTTCTCTTTGCAGGGGAACTGTAAAAATATCATGCAGACCCACAACCTTGAACTGCATATATAGGCAAGTGGAGGTCAGGGAGGACTTGGGTATTACAGCAGTAAGCACCATAAGAAAGGCCAGCAGTAATTATTAATTCCATCTTCAAGCACAGTTTGAATACAGCTCAACAAACGAAGCACTGAAGAATGAGGGTAAGATAAAATATTGACTAGCTGCTCCATCATTGTCTGGTCTGTGCCCTAGATAGCACAAGGGTGTTTTGGAAAAAAGCAGAATGGAAACACCTACTAAAAGGCTGGAGCTTTAAGGATTTGAATCTTTTTTTTTTAAGATTTTAATGCAGTTGTATGCACCTCTATTTAGAGTCAGATATAGGCATGCACATATGAAGAGGTTGTATAGGCACATTATTCTACAAATATACAGCCATTTATCTGTGTGTACCTAGACTTTCCTAAAACATAAACAAGCATCTGACATCTAATGCAGCCCTTGATGAGACTTGCTCTCTCTTCTCCGTGGAGTACCACCGGTAATTATTTACCATTACTTCTTAACGGGAACAGGTTCAGCTGGGATGTAGTAAACAAGAAAACCGTATAGATTGTTCAATATAGCCTGGCTGGCTCTCAGCTGGGGTAAGAAGTGATTGGATCACACCTCCTGGATATTTCAATCACAGTTTTTATCACTGGGGAAAAGCACCTTATTAACCTGTACTTGGTCAGGTCCCTTACATGTCCATATATGCAACGCTGTCAAGATCATACAAGTGCCCCTTCTAGTTCACGTTACCATGCTTCGAACCCTAAACTGCTGCGGGGTTAAACGACTAACAGGACGGAGACCTGAAGGGTTCATCCAGACTAATGACATCTTGAACTCTGCTCCCTTCCCACCTGCCATAGATTGTTTTTGTGCACCAGGGTAAGGGCTCCCCCTTCCCACGGCAGAAACATCCGACTGTGGCAAAAAGATGGTTCTGAAAGGCAACGCTGGTGATTCGCAAGCACAATCATCACGTGTGAAAAAGAAAAGGGAAAAATCCTCTGCGTGGATTATTTCATTACTTAGAAAAACCAAAACAACCCAAGGAAAAAGGGCAAGTTGAAACTGTGTTTTTTTTAAAGATGTGTGCCCTACCACTGATACATTTTCTGGCACGTCTCACATCATCACCCCATTCCTGTGACTCCTCCACCATCAATAGGAGTTGTGTGCATCAACCCGGGGAGCCTGAACACTGGGCAGACCTTATGTGAAAAGCACCATTTTTTTTCGTTACGGCAGAGAACTGATGTATGTAACTAGCACATACTGTAAAGGCATTCAAAATATGACAAAAAAAATTGTTCAAATGCTTTCAAACTGCAGAAAACAAATGCTCTCTTCACTGACTGCTCTGTGGCAAACTTCTAATTCCATCCAGAAAATCCAGCATTCTCAGCCTGGGCTAACGACCATGCTACCAGACATGAGTTTATGTTTTTCATGCACATTTCATGTATTCCCACATGCTGTGTTGCTGCCAATAATTTATGACTGATCTGCACCCAGCCTGCCCTTCAGCATTTTATTTAATCTCTGCAACAGTGATTTACAATGACTCATCATTAATACAAAAATGTACATGTGTGTTAACAAGTTTGGAAGAATCTAAGGAGGAAGGCAAAATTTTTTGCAAGTCGTGGCTGAATGACTTATGAGCCCACTGAAGAAAGGCAAAGCTAACCAGAAATGATACGTTAGCAATTCCCTGCAGCAAACAATTTAGGTAAGAAGAGTTTCTTTTCCTGCATACCGCCTTAGAAGAAAAGGGATTGAGGAAAAGGTTGGGAGAGGGTTTCCCATGACCCCAGGATTCAGGAGGGGACAAGTAGCTTGTTGGCCACCCCACGGCTGGACATTCCCTGAGGATGCACGTGCAGGTGTGCAACCTGCACACTCAGCCACGGCCTCACAGACTCCATGTTCCTTAACATCCATTACAAAAAGCAGGGGCTGAATTACTGTATTTTGGCTTCTTTGCCCACCACATATGGGTATCTGCTATATAAAAAAGCTCCGAACGGCTCTATAGTGTTAAATCTTCGTGGGGCTGGGAAGGGGAATTGTCTCAATAATTTATACAATTGTAACACCACAGCAGAATTACCAAACTAGCTCAAGCAGAGGAAGCCTGCCCTACATCCACAAGACTTCAGTTATAATGTATTTTGACCTACTTTTATTTTTTTTTCCTTGCACATAAGGAACTTATAAAAACACATCTGACACAAAGCCAAAGTAAAAACTCCTCAAATCCGAGGCGAGATGGGTACTGAAAAACACCCTGGAAAGTCACTTGGGAGAAGTTCTACCAGCTTTAGTTCAAAGCATCCCGTCTTCACCATCTCAAAAAATTTCTTTGATGGCCCAGCATAGTTGCGCACGTCAAATCCTACACGCCCGGACCCCTCTGAAGCAGCACACACTCGCTCCTCTCATCATTAAATAAGACCCCTGATGAACATACACCACTCTGGCTTCCCAACTGGCCAGAGCGCCTATCGTCAAACTGAAGGCCAACCATATAAATTAGGGTATTGCCTGGATGAAGGTTGGAGGATGTAAAGCTGAGGCAAACACTGATTTTTTCTGGTTGAGCCAAAATACCGTGGGCTACGTTCCCTTATAACACATATTTTATGTTTAGTGCCTTTTATTCCTCCGTTTTAAAGTAAGTACCTTGGAAGCATACTTCACAGATACTAAGTATTTGGTATTTTCCTTTATTCAGTGTCTTAAAGGGCTTCAAAAAATTGATCTCCCAGGGCTGCTGTGGGGTCACAGAAATTGATAACCCTTACAAGCTATGCTTATGTGAGCCCGCCTGCGTCTCCCAGATAGTGCACTTTGTAAATTAATCCTCCAAAGGCAAATATATTGTAAGTAGCTTGTTATCTCTAAAGTACTAAATTGAAGAATACATGGGATTATATTGACAGAAATTACATTTTCTGTAATGGGGTTTAATATATCTGAAATCTCTCCCATAGGCTCCTACTCTCTCTAAGAGAGGAGGGTTTGTTAATGTAGGTGCAATGGACATCAAGACCAAATTTATTCACTAAAATGGATTAGGCCATGTAATCAGAGCTTCAGTAATATTAATCTCTGACACTTATTGAATGGAAAAAAAATACTTTTGTCTGCAAACTGGCATTTCTCCCTCCCTCTTCCCCAGCAGGCTCGCCATTTGCCTTGGCCATTTTCTGGGTATTACTTCAAAGAGGATAAGGTTTCCCATCATAAACACTAATCTAAAAATATTAGAACAATTAATTAGATACACTTAGTTTTACAAGGTATTAGATTGCAATACACTTCAAATATGACACTTGTTCTGGGACAGTGGGAGAAACCTGCGTTTCGATGCAGTATCAAAGAGTAATAAATCAAACTTTTTTTTAAGGGTTCGCTGCTGTGTTTTTATACTTAAATCACGCGTAATTTTCACTGGTTGCCTTCACCACATCCTGGACAGTTAACAACCCAACATCCACTGCAGAATCAGCACGGATCCTGATTTCCTTCAAACAAATTGCTACTACAACAGGTCAGGGGCTCCAGCAACCCTTCTCTGGAATAAATAAATAACAGTGCTCCACGCCTTACTTCGGCAGCAAAGAGCCAGATCATCCTCAAAGGTTATTTAAGCTTTCAAAAACTGGACTTCTAAAACAAATTGGTATAGAAGGATGCCAGTCAAAATGAAAAACCCCACTAACACCATTAAAAAGAGCATGACAGCATCCCAAAATAACAATACGCTCTGCAGAAATGGGGCCAATCGCCCCTTTTTTTTCACCCAACATCTCAACCTCTTCCAAGACCAAAGTTCTCAAAACAGATGTGGCTTCCTATTGAAGAAGTCACATCCTCAGCCAGAAGGAGGACTGGTACCCAAATCTGAACATACCAAAATCTGCCCAAGTGATGGGAAAATAAATAGGGCTTGTTTTCTGCAGCAGCAAACCTTCTAGTTCCCATAACTGAAACCCAGCTGTATTCCTTTTGCATCAATAAACTGCTGGGGGCGGGGGGGGACGGGGGGGGAAGCAGACAAGGGCAAGGTGTGTCCTCAAAAATGCAAAGCATTAGCCGGAGGGTGCCGGCGGCCGTATAGAAACACTAAGGAAAATTACTTACCAATTGTTCACTTGAAGTATAGTGAGCCCTGTGTCTTGTGCCAACTGCTTTTTCTGTTCTTCTGAAGGGTAAGGGTGCTATAAGACACCAAAATAAATATATACATTTAAAACAATGCACTTTTTTGCCTACTTTTTATTTTAAATTAAAAAAAAACACCCAAAAAACAGAAGCGTGACATCTATTATTGAAAGGTGAAAATGCTGAGGTGTGTCACTCTTTTATAATTATTAATGGGCTACTACATCACTTAATTAATGGCAGTAAAAGACAAGCCAATTATAAAGATTAGTGAAGTGGAGAAATAACTGCTTAGGATACTGGCAGTACCTTGATACTCCAGAAGGATATTTGTTGCATTAGCTGAAAGTTTTTGCACTTGTCTCAAATGACCGAGTAGAGTCAAATCACCTTTTTTTTTTTTTTCTGTACTTCACAGAACAATAAAGAATGTAATAAAGCACTTCTCCTTAAAACTAAAAAACGCTGATGTTTTCTGAGATAGTGAAGACAAATCTTGTCAGTGCCCCAAAATAATTTGCAAATAAGATCAGCATCCTGAACATAAACAAATGCCTGGGTTTTGAACACAGGCCAATGCAAGTTCAACGATCAGCACATTTTTGCCTGACTTTAACATAGCTGTGCTGCACTAATCCTAAAAGACAGAAAATAAATACTGGTTTAATTGAAGATAATGTTAAAATTCAATCATAAGTTAAGTTTCTTGTGAGAACTCGATTGCTTTCTCAGAAAATTTGCTTCTGCATGAATACAGAGTGGTTAATAAATCAACAGCAAAAACCACATCCAAGTTTGAAATTTAGAAATATCATTTCTGTCCTTTCCCGCCACATAAAAATGTCACTGACCCAAAACGAAATGGCCAAATATTGCAAACGTAACAATTCCCAGAAAAACCCCCGTTTTGACGATCCCGTTGGGTTCCTAACTTGGGCACCCAAGTCTCAGTACACATTGGATTCAGACCTGGTCTGCTGTGAGGTACTTAATAACATTTCAGTAAAGGTAATTTGATATAACTGGTTAGGCCTACCCCAGCATCCCATTTAGCAGTTGGCTGTCACAAAGCATTTGCTGTTATACACACATCCCTTTTTTCCCCCAAAACATTCCTGTATTCGTCAGATGTACTCTTCGGCATAATATTACACGAGATGTAAACTGAAACCTTGTAAAGTGTAAGAATTTAAAACCTCGTAAAATTCCGCAATCTTATTGGTATCGTAACTATTTAGCAGATTTTATATATTCTTGTAAACAGCATAATCTGACAGCTAATGGCTATGTTACATGCCTGCATCACCTCACTTTACCAAACAGGAATTTTTGTTGTAACTCTGGCAACTTCCCTTTGCCCAACATACCCATTTCAAAGCCCAACACTGTGGCCATCGGCTCCAAAAGATACATTTTTTTTCACCCCAAAATGGTGCAGAATTTCTCATTCTTTCAAAAATACTGTTTTCTTGAGAGTAAGCCCACAGAAAACCTGCACGCCTGTAAACTGCCCCCCTGCATTTTCTGTATGTACGTGAAACAGCTCCAGAATTGCAAAGCAGAAGACACAGGGAAGGGTATTTTACTTCTTTTTTATGGGTAATTTGCATTTTGCACATGCAGAAATATAGCATGAATTTTATAGTCTGCCTTATATACACGTTCATCCACAACAGCCGTACTTGACTTACGTCCATCTAGCTGAACATAACATTTTGCTTCCCTTCAAAAAAAACCCCTACAGAGATCATTTGTAACATTTTCATCTTTATAGCTTGCTTCCCATTTCATTACTTTGCTATCAAGCAAGGACAAAATTATTCTTTTTTTTCTTATTTCGCTTTGCCACCTTACATGTGATCTAATTTTAAGTAATTGAACAAACTGTGTCTAATTTCATGCAGCAAGCAATAATTACTAGACAGCCTCTAGCTATTGGAATTAAGAACTCTGTCTCCATTAAGCAATTTTCAGTTGTTCTGGACTTTTTTCCAAATAGACAAGACTGGATAAAATTAGCCATCAGAATAATACAGTCACAGTAAAAATAATTGCTTTAAAAGTCCCAACCCCCAAATTCCTCCAATTGTGGTATGTTTAAGGTCATCTGATTTTTTTTTTCATAGCCTAGCACAGCATAAACTTTTAATTTCATGACAAATCTATAATTGCCATAATCACATGACAGCCAGGACTTCACACAGCTAATCCCTCTTAGCTAAAGGTTCACAGTGCAGCAGGCTTTTTAACTATGATTCGGTGTGGTTTAAAATATCTTAAATGCTGGGCATCCTTATTATATAAGCTTTCTGCGGCTCGTACGAGTTGTTCCTTTGTAGGCTAAAAAAAAAAAAAAATAATAAAAATGACTTGACAAAGAATCAGCATGCCACAGGCTAGGTTGCTATAAAAACATTCAAAGCCTTGTTGCATTCCCACCCACAGGGCTAGGAAGGCCTGTGCTACAGGCAAAGGCAGACATCACATCGCAACAGAGAGAAAGGGGGAAGCCCTGAGAACTGCCATTTTATGAAGAAATAGGAAATTCGGTTGAAACTATTGCTGTTGGTCTTTATTTCACCTGGGCGAGAACACCAGGTGCCTTCCAAAAGCTTTCTAATGGTTGCTTAAAGGGATAGACACACACATGCAGATATGTGCATACATATTTGCATATATATGTATATTAATTTGCATATATATGTATAATATATATAGAAAATATATATATGTGTATTTTTTATATATATATATCAGTTATATGGTTCAGTTTTAGGTAGTCCTGCGAGGAGCAGGGAGTTGGACTTAATGATCCTTATGGGTCCCTTCCAACTTGAGATATTCTATGAAATACATAAATATATAAATATATTAATATATATACAAGTGCGTGTCTAAAACCACTGCATTGGCTCCAAGTTGGCAAGCCCACCTATCACTCCGGCTCACTTTGGGATATCAAAGCAAATTGTACCACTGTTCAATAAACAGTGACTTGAGACCTTTACTTTGTTGTGTACATTAGCTCCTACCATTATCTCTTAAAAGCTTAATTATTTGCAAACAATTGATCAAGATGGGAATTGGAGAAAAGAGACGCTGGACCACCGGGAGAGCTGCAATGCATTAGGAGAGCAAACAGAATTACCTTTAGGTCTTATAATCAGAATTAACGATTGGGACCGTACGCGGGGCAGCGCGAGAAGCTGTAACGCTCTTGCTGGAGTGTTTTCCATTTGATCTGCATTAACACCTCGAGTGAAAGCCATAAAACGGTGATTACAGATGGGAAGGCTGACCCTCCTTCCCAGAACCAGCCCAGCTTGTGTGTACTGGAAGACTGCAGACAGGGTTTCTTGCCAAGGCCAGAAGAAAAGGGCAAATCCAAGGGGAAAAAAAAGTAGGAAGCAGGCAATCTGGCTCTGGTATTTTCTGATCACGCCTGCTGCTGCCACAGCACTACAGAGCAGCATCCACCAAACGGTATGAGACCCAGTGCTTTTCCCTTCCCATAAATCTAGTGCTGAAATGCGGATTGTTTGGCACCATTAATGTGTTTTTGAGGCTCTGTGGTATTACTTTTAATAATGACTTAGTACAGAAAGTGATTGCTTAATAACACCATCAAAGTCTGCATGCAAATGAAAATTATCCCTGGGGGATTTGCCCAGGGTAATATGAACAGTTAAGGAACATTTGAAAAGGTAAAAATAACTATGCAAAATATGAGTCAGAGCAGTCATTTTAACAGTAACAAAGAAATCAAAGTGACAGAGAGAAAAATGTAAGTTTCCATCATATTCTCTCATCACTGTTTTATGAATGGTATTTAGAGAGCAGCAGTCTTAATAAAAGCCCCTTTTTAATGCAGCCGAGATCATTTTTAGCAAAACAAACAATAAGACTTTTTTTTACCACCTTTGAATACAGCCGGTGGTTAAAAGTCTCCAGTAGATACAGATGGAAAGCATCCAAGTTTGTCTCTTAATGATACCCCTTGTCCAAATGCACTCCTTTCCTCAAATTTTCCACCCCAGGCTGCAAATGCCGGATGCCAGGACAGCGGTAGACTTTATCATATCTGTAACCCAGTATCAGTAACACTCCCACCCTCCCTGCCTTGCCCACCCCAGCGGCTCATCGTGATGGTCGCAGAAAAATACAAAAATAATCCTGTCCAGAGCTTACTGCTGAGACAACGGGAGGCAAACCCACCCCTTCTCACCCCCTCAGATTACGAATTCCTCGTGGCACCGAACCGCCTCAACACCAACACTGCCAACCAGCCCCACCACAGCACAGAGGCAGAAGCAGTCCCCAAGCAAGAGGTCGAATGTTACGTTATAAGGATGTTGTGGCAACCATCCAGTGTCGCCCTTATCGCGGCAGCGCCATTGCTTGGCTGGCCGCGCAGGGAGAACCATTTCAGAAGTCCTTTCATCCCCTTCCTCCAGCCCTCTGCCTCCTCCAGAGCGCAGCCTAAAGCACCAAGGTGAGATGACCTTGAGCTAAACTCTGGTAAGGGATGGAGAGAAACTACCCCCCTCCCCCCAAATGTATGCCCTCAGGAGCGCCTATTAACTGTTTTCTAACCTCAAAATAAGAAGGAAAAAACCCCCTCACACTGTGATTTTCTTGTTTCTGAAGAGCAACCCAGCCTACACCCAACTCAGTAACCTGAATAAAGCCCAAGGTTCAGCCCTCCAGTGATAAACTGCACATTGGTTTTATGCTGAACTCTGAATCCTTGCTTTACCCAAACTTGTCCGGGGTTACCTAAGGCAGCGGCGCTGAGGTTTGGGTCTCTCCCCTTCCCCTACCTCCTCCTGGTTTGCATTTGAACTGTTTACATTAGTGATCAAGTTGATCTACGACAAATGATTATTTTTTTTTAATATACATAATGCTTTCCCATTGTCTCTCAGCTTTATGAATTAGTTTTACTGTTGCAGTGAATGCTTTTTTTGTCTCCTGACTGCACATTATCAAAGGGACACTTTGTGCCTGCCATTTGCATTACAAAAGCGGTGCATGGTGTAGTCTAAGAACAGAGCTT